TATACTCCATACAGCATTACTATACTCCATACAGCATTACAATACTCTATACAGCATTACTATACTCCATACAGCATTGCAATACTCCATACAGCATTACAATACTCCACACAGCATTACAATACTCTATACAGCATTACAATACTCCATACAGCATTACAATACTCTATACAGCATTACTATACTCCATACAGCATTGCAATACTTCATACAGCATTGCAATACTCCATACAGCATTACAATAAGACACCTACAATCTGCTGTAAGCTACAGTCATTAAAGATATTTTATCATTAGAACGAGGTCTGTCTGCTTTTCAAAGACACACAACTGCATTTTTCTCTTTCTGTGAGGATAATAGAGCACTGTTTGTACTGAAACGTCCTCCGTGTGGAGCGACTCTGTTTAACATCTGATTTTTGTTTGACGGAGGAGGGGCTTTGAGGCTTCTCATATTTGGCATCAGAGCTTGAGACAGAGACGAGGAGCAGGTGTTGGCAACTCACTGCAGGATTTCTTTTTTCCTCTCTCTCCCTCTCACTTTCTCTCTCTCATTGTGAAATTCATTTGGCTCCTTTTTTATCCCCAAGCCTTGTGAGCCATTTATTACCTTGGGTCCTAGAGCTTGAGCTCCCAGTCCAAATGTGCATAAAAGACACTCTGATTTTTTTTCTTTACTCTTTGCAGCACAACATAGGAAAGGCCACTGTTTATCTTTGTGTGCACATCAAAAAATGTCTTCAAATGAAGAACAATAAAGCACTTTTTTTTCCGGATTGCAGTACCCTTTCAGTGGCATGAAGAGATTTTTTATTTTTTTTAGTTTGCAAAAACACTCTGGAAGTACAAAGCTAAACTAATCACTTTATTTAAGGAAACCAGGAAGCTCCGGGTTATAAATTAATGGGCCCCTGCTGAGGAATTGTGTCACGAGGCAATAAATAGTGAATAGTTGACTTTACAGAGTGAGAATACTCCCAGGAGGTTCTGTTAAATATACTTTCTTCTACACCTATGTAAAACTGTCTGACTTTATTGTGCACTATCTAATCTTTTGCTCCAATTATTTGTTTTCCCAGGTCTTTCTGCTGCTGTCCAGAAGTTTTCCCAGTCCTTGCAAGAATTCCAGTTTGAGTGCATAGGTGATGCAGAAACAGATGATGAGGTGAACATTGGTAAGTGCAAATAAGCAAGACAAGAAGACATCTTATTCCTGCTAATTATCCACTTCTTCACCTGCTGAAGAAATTATTCTCAAGGTTTTGCTAAGATCATCACGATGACACAGTTTGTTGTCGAGCTGTGTTTGAAAAGAAAGAAAAATAATCTATTTGTACCACAAATAACAAGTTTACCACAAATTTACAAGTTACCTCAGTTTCTGAGGTAACTTGTAAATCTATGACACCCTTATGTATGTGTATGTTTGTACATGTACATGTACATATACATATGTATATACATGTATATGTATATGTGTATGTATATGTATGCTTAGATATGTATTTATACATACAGTATATATTCATTCAACCTTTATTTAGACAGGTTAATCCCATTGACCCTCTGGGACTCACTTATAAGAGAGACCTGATTTCTTAATAAAGAGGGATGACAACAATGGACAGTCACAAAAGTGGCATGCAAATTTTATTTATTTGTTTATTTAATTACAAATCAAAACAAAATAGCAACCAAAAGGACAGTTAAAAGGAAAAGTAACAAGAAAAATATAAAAATAAACAGCTGATTATAAGGCGGTGTAGAAAACTAAAATCACGAACATGTCTGCATTGGTTCTTGCCAGGAACTTAACAGATGTTTTAAGCCACTTAGAGAGGTCAAGGTCGAGAGCTTCAGATCTTTATATAAAGAATTAACCTATATAGGTTAATCATAAATGTAGTACACCCTTCCACCTTGTGCATGTACAGAATGTTTTTTTTCCAAATTTGTGTGTTCTGCTTCTCTTTTGATTATTTCATGTTTGTTTGTTTTTTTCTGTATTTTCTGTATAATTAGAACATGATACTGGATGTCTCACATTTCTCCCTGGTATGTATATGTATGCATGTATGTATGTATGTATGTATGTGTGTGTTTGTGTGTGTGTGTATAAACTACTACTTACTACTTGTACTACTATTCCTACTTCGTGGTTTTTCACTTATCACGGATCGTCAGGGTACGGATCCCCAGCGATAAATGAGCGACTACTGTAATCAGTTTTTTGAGAAAAAGGATTTTTAACAATTTCCTTTTTTTTTTCCCCCTAATATAAAAACATTGGTAAAATGTGCTAATTTTATAGGTATTTGTTGCAAACTGTAAAATAAAATAAAAACATTGGCTCTGAGCTTTATCAAAAAATACAATTTGAAGGCATGTAGTTTTCCAGATACTCTGATGTGCATATGTGAAAAGTGGGTATGCACTCAATGTAAACAATGCACACAGCTAAAGTTGCCAAAACTATGTTAAAGCTTGAGTCACAAGAACGACCTACAATAGCCATATGTTAAACAAACATGACGGAGTTGGACAAGCCTAGATCCTGGTAAAATATGTGTAGGTGGAAATATAAGAGTCAGTCTGCTGCTAAACACAAAAGACAAGTGAAATAATAAGAAATACAACTTTCTGGAATAAATATCAAAGTGATGGACTACTATAAAGACAGAGCTCATTCAAATGCATGCAGTTCTTGCAAAACCTTGTAAGTTTAACGTTTGGAGTGTTTATAACTCAACTTAGTTCAAGTCTGTGATTTGTTGTATGACATGCTTAAATCAACAAATCTGAGCATAAAAATACACCAATACATTGAAACTGCTTCACATCATCAATAACAGCAAACATGAGAACACATTTTGTGAGTATTTTATATTTGGCATTGCAATGAGTACCTTTAAAAGAGATTTTTTTTTTTTTTTTTATTAAATTATTATTATTTTTTTTTTTTTTTTGACCTTTTATTTATACAGGTACTCTCATTGAGTCATGAGGACTCATTTTCAAGAGAGATGCATTTGGGAGCAGATGGTGGGGGTTAAGGTCCTTGCTCAAGGGCACAGAGTGGGGCAAATGAGGGTGGAGGCAGGTGTGGGTGTTTCACCTTTTCCACCCGCATTTTGATATAGTCAGTCCGGGGGAGTCGAACTGGCGACCTGCCAATCATAGGCCACCTTCTCTAACCTCTGCACCACCACTCCCCATTTATCTACACATTGGTGATAAAGTACGGGTTTGTCTTGTGTTTGAACGTTCATGCACAATATAAGAAAATTGTGTTTTCAGTCAGTGTTTTATGGCAGATTAATTGTATTAATACTGTTTGCTTTTTGTTGCATTTCATTGATTTTGTCAATTTCATCCAAATGATCAAATATACCGGTAGTTATTGACCTTTGTTGATGAAAATACTCTAAATCCTATGTTTACATTGCACAAATACATCCACCCTCACGGTGTGGCAGCTATACAACATGTGAATCAGTGTCTTTTCTGAGGACTCCAAAACGTTGAAGGTCCAGTGATACCAATCATGCCCACTACAGGACAATTATACTTAGCTCTAATCACAAATACAAACAGTTTGGGCCCTCCGCAGAAACATAAAATGCATGGTCCATTTACAGTTTTAACATGAGAAATCACTTTCCATTACATTGGGATATGCACACAGAAAGATGGAGCATGCTCTCACACACACGCACACACACGTGCACACTCAAAACACCTGCATGGACAGAACTATTGGCAAGGTACGCCGTTGTCCATACAACCTCTAAAATGAGTTGGCTACAAAAGTTAATCAGTTGTAGATGTCACTTAGTTTCTGCAAGTTTCAATAAAATGTGTCCAGTGGTTCATGAAATATTTTGGTTAAAGTAAAACAGACACACACACATTTGTCTTTCTACCTTTACAGGGACTTTGCATTGATTTACATTCATTTGTCATTCAATTATATAACCTAACCCTGACATTTACCCTAAACCTAACCATTGCCAGTACATACCTGACCCTAAACCTAACCCATCAACGGTACTTCTTCTTATGGGGCCCGGGCTTTGGTCCCCATAAGGAGCAGTTGGTCCTCACAGTGTAGTATATGTTGGAAAAAATGGGAAAACAAAGACACACACATGCACACAAAGGTACAAATCATTGTAGCTTTGTAAGAATCATTGTTTTAAGACTAAATTTAGGGCTTGCTTTGAGGCCTACACATCTTAAAGTACAGACTAATTAATGCCATGGATGTGCTTATGATCCTTCCTCTGTATCTTGTCACGTCTCCAAGAGATCAGAAGGACTAATTGTGATCAGTGTCAGAGATTAATGGAGGTGAAAACCTTCTCTCCTTCATCAGGTGTTTGAAAGCAGCTGTGCAGGGGGAGACGTTGGCTCTAATGGGCAGAGATGCCAGTCTGGCACCCCCTTTCTTGTCTTCTTGTTTTGCACCATTCTCATTATTCCCAGCTTTCGCCTCCCGCTCTGCGCTGAGCTGTCGACAGCTGAATTACTGTCCATCTGTGAAGGCTGGACGGCGTATCGACCCTCTCTTCACGAGGCTTTAATGTTCATCAGAATGCTAAATGATTAGTCTCTTATTTTCTTTTTTTTTTTTTATCACAAAGCTAAAGTAACCGTAAGGTGGCCATGGGCATAGTTGCTAATTATGCTTAATGGAAAAATCCACACCCAGAGCCAAGTCTCATTAGAATAAAGCACACTTTAATTTGAGGCAATGCTCCTGTTCCCAGGCGTAGTATAAAGTACATGTTGATTACTGAGAGAGAAGTGGTTATTTTAGCCTTTCACCTGTTTCTGTAATACAAACATTTAGCGCAATAGCAACAGTAAAAACAGCAGCGCCAAGCCATACATTATGTGGAGTTTATGAATTTCAATATGAAAAGTAATGTCAGGCTTTATAACAGTGCAAATTTTGAAATGTGTTGCATCTGTTGTTATTTTTGTGTATGTGTGGGTGTTTGTGTGTCTGTTTTCAAAATATCTTGTGAACCACTTAACAGATTTTAATAAAATTATCAGAAAGTAATCATTGGATATAAATCTACAACTGATTTAACTGTGGGAGGAATTCAAATTCAAAATGGCTGCTACAGCAAGCTGATCTTATAAAACACAAACATGGCTGTAGCTCAGTCAGTTTTACACATTTTGACATAAAATTTTATTTGATAGTAGCAAAAAATCATTCCCAATTTATACTGAACTTTTAGAGCTGACTGATGAAATTGTTCTTAAACCTTTGCCATAAATTATTGGAGTGGACTATGTCTGTCTGTTAACAAAATATCTTGTGAACCAGTTTACATTGTTTTATGAAAACTTTAAGAAAGTAAATACTGGATATATCTCTACAGCGGACTAAATTTCGGAGTGTACCCAATTCACGATGGGTGCCACAGCTAATTTGTTTTAAAAACAGCAAATTAGCTGTAAACAGTCAATTATACACATATTTATCTATAATTTGGTTTGTTCATAGCTGAGACAAATTCAAAACACATGTGACATTTTTCCCCTAAAATATTTGCAATGAGTTGGCATCAACACTGTCTGTTAACAAAATATTTTATTGGATTTTAAAGTAATTCAGATAGATGGATAAGATAGATAGATACTTTGGCAGAATACACACATTTGGAAAAAGACAATGCGCAAGGTGGTAGGGAGTACTACATTCATGATTATCCTATATATATATATATATATATACACGACGGCAACAATATACAAAGTTAAATTGGTATGCCTATTTTATGACTGTCTATTGTTGTCGTTGTCATCACTCTGTTAAGAAATCCTGTCTCTATTGTAAATGAGCCCTCGAGGCTCAATAGGATTAACCTGTCTAAATAAAGGTTGGATTAATATATACTGTATGTATACATACATATACACATCTAAACATACATATACATGTATATACATATGCACATGTACAGGTAAATATACAAATGTATGTACATACGTACATACGTGTCCGAGGTACCGCAGATTTACAAGGCTCTATTTTCACTGTATGGGGAGGAGTTGAACAGTCTGATGGCTTGAGGGACAAAGAACTTCCTGAATCAGTCTACTACTGAAGGAGCTCCTCTGCTACATGGTGTAATCGTTGGCTGTACATCTGTAGCTGATTACCTTTTAGAGACGGCTGTTAAAGCTATTTATATTCCTACACTGAAAAGGCTTAAACTCAGTCATACGTATGGATATTGATCTGAAGTTTGATGTGGTGGTAGTTGACAGTGGTTCACAACACACTACTGAGTGTGGCATCTCACAATGTTACATGAGATTGAGCTTAATGCATGAGATGATGTTAATCGGTGCAATGTACCTGCCTTCAAGGAATAATCCTTTTTTTTCCCCCTGAATTGGGCCTGAGTGTCAATTTAAGTGTTCTGAACTTTTTTTTTTCTGTTTTTTTTTTTTTTTTTGCTCTGAGTTCTATTCTGGCTGTGTTCGCTCACCGTGTCAGGGAGAAAAGGCCAGGATGATTATTTGAGGGGGAAAATGAAACGGCCTGTTGAAATCAATCTCGCCATCAATGAAACCAAGCTTTCTGACTGACATAGCCGGACCCTCGAGTGAATGCCACCCATGATCTTGATGCGGTATCGGTACAGTTCACTTTGATGCTCCCATCCTCCCCGAGTAACATCGGGATGCTGCCAGACGGGTTCACCTGACCTTTTATCGATTCCTCTCGATGACTTCCTGCAGTGACATTCACATTCCATGTCTGTTATCTACGAATCAATGCGGGTCAGAGATTGATGTGGCTACAGAAATTTAAATTTTTCCAAAAGTTTGAAACCCCTTCACGCAGAAGGTCAATCCTTTAGCGCTCTCAGCCTTTGGGGAACAAATTGGATTAGCACAAGTTAAAATCTGAGGAGTCAAATATCAAACAGGTGCACTTACATTTGTACAACTCTTGGAATAGAGTGCAGAAAAATAAACTTGTGCAATAAATTTTAGCATAAACCTTTTCACATTCACTGTTTTTATTTCATACAGTGATTCGTCAGAAATATTGCCTTTCCCTACATTTACCAGTGAATTATATGCGAGCTGCAACCCTACTTTCACTCCCATTTCCTTTCTAATCCCGTCCCATTAGCAGCTCCTGCTGTGGCCTTTACCCCCTGAGAGGCTCACACTGTTGATAAAGGAGCTGGTAGCATTAATAGAAGGCCAGCTGCCCGCAAGATCTCTGGCACAAAATCATTGCTCCCTGCTTTTTAAAAGCTTTGGACCAAAGTGTCTAAGATGATGCATGGGTCCCCGTGCCAGGCTGTGGGGGATGATAATGATGTTACTGAGTTGGCAAGCAGAACCGCTCGACCACAGCTAAACGGCTGGACACAAGGGCCGGCCAACAGAGACCAAATTGTATCTGGCCTTCAATTTAATGGAGATGTGAAGCTATCAGGGCTCAGTTTTCTGGTGGATAAGGTAAAAGGAGTTGTAATCTAAATGCATCTGGCCGTGCCGTCTGTAATACCGGCTACTGCCGTTCATCCCAGATAGAGAAGGCACATCTTCACCACATCAGTCTCTTTTACATTGTGACAAGGCATTATAAAGCCCAACAGGAGAAGAAAGTAAAAGGAAGCAATCAGTGGAATCCATTCAATTGAAGTATTGCTTCTTAAGGCTAAGTATGGCTCGATATTAAATTGGACAGCTGCATGCTTTTATTACGCTCTGCACTGAAGGGTCTGAAACGACGGAGAGAAACATTTTGGCACAACGCTACAGTACCTGGAACAGCCGATCTTTAACGACCGCAGCGCGTTGGTTTTATCGTCTTATCAGAGCAACACGATAGTCCACTGTCTGTATGTGCACAACGAGGTGTTCAGGTACCCAACATGTGCCGTTTATTTCTATGTTGGTACTTACATTCTCCTTCTCTTGTTTCAGCCCAGTCGTTTAAAGAGTTCTCCCAGCTGTTGAGCACAGTCGAAGAGGAAAGAAGACGCTTGGTAAGAAAACAGTTTATAAATATCAAAAAGGAAGGACAGAACAAGACCGTCATTGTGTCACCTAATTGACATTAAAATGTTACGAATTTTAATGTTCTCAGGAGCACAGGTTGCTTAATACAGCTACGCTACATTTTTTTTTCCCCCAATCTTTTTACTATGCATTGTGGGTAAAGACTCCATCTGTGCTCAAGTCCAAATAGTTTGTTTTTTGCGGTTTGGCAAACCAAAGAAGAACAACACAATTTAGTTGTAGGTGCAGAAAGAAGTGCCATTAAATTTAGCTTCAACGCTAATGATTCTCCAGGTGAAAATTGCGTTAATAAATGTTTTTGTAGTTTAAAATTGTATATCATGAATAAATTGATATATAAGAAGGTTTTAATTATAAACCTAGTATGTAAAGACATTGGAATTTTTGTTGACTATTATTACCAGTATGTCTATTAGTCATTTCTTGTGAGTTTTAGATGACAAATATAATGTGTTGTTTTTTTTAAGTGAAGGCCAAGCATCTGTTGAAGGAATACATGTCACCCGCTGCCCTTCATGCCAGAGTCTTAGACTAAAATCATCTTATGTAAAGAAGAGTTCTAGCTGTGTTAGTCAAACTGTGAAAAGAACAGAAGTTGATTAGTTGTGGTGGCCATCTTGAATTGTGTTGACCCCTAGTCAGTTATACGTGACCAACCTGTACTTTCTGAGGTTTCTATTGAAACATATCCAATAATTTATTAAGATATTTTGCTAACAGACAAAATGAGGTTGACCCCATCAGTTAATGCCAAGGTTTTAGGCAAACATGTTGGGCTCAAAGTATGTGTTAGGGATGATGCTCAGCTACTACCACACAGTGTTAGCCCAATATTGGTGAAATTAGTAGAGTTAAAAGCCCTTTTGTGTTTCAGTTGGTTCTGGTGGACCTATTTTATTGTTGTGACTCCAAAATTAGTTTCTGATATAAATCCAAACATTATTTTCTGAACTTTGCATTCAAATGATTTCAGTGGTTCGTGGATTTTTTTTGTTGGAGACAAATATTCTCGCTTTATCTCACTTGCTCAAAAAGAGCCACACTCGACAGCGGGGGAAGATTTTTAACCAGTTTTTACTTGCAAGGACATATTTTCAGTACAGGTCACACAGATATGCAGGAAGTACACACACAAAGACCAGTCAATACCAGTGTGTGAAGCTTGTTTTTATACTCTTATCAGTTCAGCCGAGCTCACAGACTCTAAGGCGACCTTGGAGCGACAGCTGCATGCAGCCACCTCACCCGTCTCCTCATTCAGCTTTCTAACTAACTCAAACATATGTTTCATGGGCAGAGTTAACATTTTTAGCCATAGTAATTAAAAACTTACCTAAACTTTGACCAAAAATTTCCCAACATGGTTTACCCCCTAACTAGAGTTTCATTCGGGCCCAAAAAATCCGACCTGAGTCGGCCCTAGCCCGTAGCCATAATTTCCGAACCCTCGACAAATTAACAGTAATTACAGGTCAGAAACCCCCCCCCCCCCCCAAAAAAAAAAAATTATTAAGCTTTAATTTCTTATATAGTTATCAACAGTCGACGGACATGCGCAGCTTAGTAAAAGGGGGCAGAAGATCGGAGCTGAGTGGGCGTTTGTCCTTTCCTGGCTGTCAAAACACATTAAATCCCTGCATTCTGCATTATTCAGACATGGACCCTGCTCTGACATGTCTGTGAGGATATTTTGGGATCGCTCTTGTTTGGGTCGTCAGCTGCTTGTCCGCTGAGTGCAGCGGCTGAACGTCCATTTGGACTTTGATGGATCGCTGCCTGGCAGTAGTCCCATCTGAAGCTTAACTGAACTTTTTTTTTTTTTTTTTTTTACCTATTTCAAAGCTGGACAGTGTGCAGTCAAATGGCCGCGTGTGGCTAGTGAAGTATGGCAAGCCACATTTCCAAATAATTTGAAAGTATGGCAAACCATGCTGTCATATAATTGGATCATCAGCCGCGAGTGTCCGTTGATGCAATCAAAAGCCTGACACCAACCTAACCCGCCCATCCAGCACATTATTATGGCCCGTGCTTCGGGTCTGGGTTAGAAATGACAGCTTTTCCCCTAACACACAGACAGATGATTCTAACAAATAAAGGTAATGTTTTAAACGTATTTTGCTAAATCAGTTAGTGTTGAAGGTATAAGTTGGTTATCATTCTCAGCTACTAACTACATTTTTGCTCAAAATCTGTTAAAGTGCATCAATTATAACTAATTCCTATATTTGTGTGTGTTCGTTCAGGTTGTTTTGCTGTTGCGGCCATCTTTGTCGGGTTGGTCAAACGTTAAATCAGTTGTAGACGTCAACCCAGCGGTTACTTTCTGAAAGTTTTCTTAAAGTCTATTCAGACAGAGACATGCAAAAATATTATTGCTTCGGGTTCAGCGACAAGCGATAATTAATCTCAAAGAACCCAAATGCAGAAGAGAAACGTTATCAAGCCCTTTAAAGGCCCCTTTTTTTTCTGTGATGTGTTTCAGAGCTGCAAAGATTTTAATGCAGTTGTTATTGTTTATTGTGTCAAACAAAAAGTGACTGTTGTAGTTCTGGTTGGCTGGTCTAAAGGTCAGACAACAAACCTCCAACAAGGCTGAGTGTCCAAAGACAAACCAGGCATGACGTAAAGGCCAAGGGCGAAGGAGGTGGAGGATATGTCTCAGTGGGTGTCTGAGTGAGGCAGAATTGCTCCCCCAGCTCTCAGCTTCCTGAAACCCCCGCCCCTCACCAGAACATCATATGCATAATACAGATGATTTTAAAGCTCTTGTTGTCTTGGCTTTCAATATTAACGATTACATCATCTGTTCATGTACAGCGTCTGTTCCTGTCATGTTTATTGAAAGTTTGAGAATATTTTTCTGTCATTGCTTTCAATAAACAGAAAAAAATTCAGAGTGTGTATGTTCTACCACTTTGTCTGAACCTTAGTCACCTCATTCACCTCTGGGAACAAACTGAAATTGTAAAAAAAGAAACTAGATTTAGTCCTAAACTCCACAAAGAGACACAAAGTCACACTAGTTAAATACAAACGAAGGAACACAGAGTGCCTTACACATCGCATCGCAGTGTTACTTTTTTTTTTCTTTGTTTTATCAAACATATCTGAAAATATAAAACTTATTTTTACAAGTTTCTTGACTTTGAAAATTAAATACTTGCAACTTTTTCCTTTTTTTAATATTCACTGGATTTGGCTGCAGGAGTTTTGTCACTTTAAGTTTAGATTTTTATTTTTCTCAAATGTGTTGAACAAAGAGTAGGCCTCAGGTTCGTGTTTGTGATTAATCAGGTGCAACTCGACCATTCTTTACATCAGGGATTCTTAAATGTTTTGGGTTCAGGGACTCCTTGCAGGGGGGGTAGTGTCAGGAGGGCCTCCCTCAGAAAGTGTTGAATAAAGTAGATGTGATTTCCTGCATTTTGGTGTATTTTAACAGGTTGTTAAACATCTTGTAAAAAAAAAAAGTGTGTGTGTATATATATATATATATATATATATATATTTTTTTTTTTTTGTTTTTTTTTTGTGAACCCCCAAGCACCAGCTCGTGCTTTGCACGTTCAAAGTCAAGACTTGATATAAAGACTACATTCCTTTATACCAGAGAAATCAACTTAACACACCAACACACTCAGAATCTGTAAAATGCACTAAGTTGTATTAATTTTTGTGTTTGATAAGTTTGATTATCTGTGACGTCCATCTTAAATAGGTTTGACTCTAAAAGTTTATCAGTTGTAGAAGTTGATCCAGTTATTAGTCTGTGACAGTTTCATTAGAATGCATCCAGCGAGTTATGAGATATTTTGCTAACAGACAAAAACTCACATGTATGCTTAGTGCCAACAACTTTATGTGGAACTGTTGATGTAATTTAACAAACAAAAATCTGCTTTTAGATTCACATCGTAATGTAAACAAGTGTTTTTGTTGCTTGCAGAGCTTTGACTGTGTTTTCATGAGCCTTCCAGAATGTAAAGCTGTTAAATGCAGTTTTTACATTTAATAGAAGTTCTGCTGCACAAACAACAAAGTTGCAAACTATTAGTTCAAATGTTTATTGTTGTTTACGCCTCAAACAACACTTTATGTGCGTGTGGTCGGGACTCATCTGACGCCTGTCACAAGTAATCAGGGCAGACTTAGGCACGCCTCGTTTTTGTTCTTGTTTTCAGCGCATGTCACGAAGGAGAATTACAAAGCTGTGTGAGAAACGTGGATGGAAGAAAACGGCAGTGGAGGTTCACAGCTTCATGTGTGTATGCACAGCTAACAAAAACAAAGGAGGGAGATGGAGATGCTGCAATGCTTCTGTTCTCAAGGTTTTATTTAAAACCATCTCGTTTGGAAGAGTGCAAGAAACAAAAACAAGTCGGGATGCAAGGAGTGGCTGAATGAAACAGGAGAAATTAAATGAAACTACACAAGAAGACGCAGAAAACCGACAACAAAATGCATGATTGCAAAGTACCATATTTTTTTGCCGTATAAGTTGCACCTTTTTGCATAAATTTGCAAGTCCTGTAACTTATACACTGAAGAGACAATATGTTTTTTTCCACCATATTTATAACCTAATTTTTGGCTGAGATCTGACAATTTCATTCATTCTGACATGGAAAATATTGAACACTACCATTTTCAGCCGCTAGATGGTTCTCCACTGATATGGCAAGCCAAGTTTCTCATTAATAGGCAAAAGTAGCTGTTAATGAGACACTTGCCATGCAAAGCCACCTTCATATTGCTTCAGAACTCCTCGAGCAAACGTCAAATCAGCTGTATGTCGCTGCGCCGCCCAGTTGAAATGCAGCTGATTTGTCCATGAAAGTGCATTTATTAAAGAAAAGTTAAACTGAGACACACCTTTGCTATAATGTCTATCAAACAAATAATTGTATTTAGGTGGTTATCCTGGTCAATTTCAAAGAAATGCACAGCAAGTCCTCCCTCTGCG